AACTAGACAAAAGACATTTAACTGAAATCACAGGGCTGTGTCATAGAAAGTTTATAGGGTGGGAGGGTGGAAAGACCATCACTTCATCATTCAGTTGACCATGGTGGCATTTCTTTCTCCCAGGTTCCAAGCCAGAAAGAGACCCGTCAGGAAGCATCTCAAGTAGCATTATCTTTTTATTCGATTTATTACCTGAGAACATTTCAAAGTCGCATGCTATGTATGTGTGTGGGGAAGGGGGGAGACAGTTGAAGACTTGGTGTTTACACATTCATGAAATAAACCTTACAGAGGGGTATCTTTTCACTTGGGAAAAACCTTTAGTAAAAGGAGTAGGAGTGGTTTCAATGCTAAGTTAGTAGTTTATTTTGGGGTGTTTGGGTCCTTTTAAATTTCTGTAACTACTTGCTACAGTGACTTTTGGGAAGGAAGCCTTAGACTTGAAAAATTTCACAAAAATACACTTTAGATGAAGACCTCTATCTTCTTTGCCTAAATTTGTTTTTAAACAGCTGTCCAGCCAGTATATATATCTTTAGTTCCTCTCTCCTCAAACAGTTTCTATACGTCTCTCCATTGTAATGTCTTTGTTTTTATTCAGTTGAATGCTATTCAAATATAGTGGGAAAATCTGTCTGTAAATTGAATACAGATATTATACGATAAGATTTTTGTGCCATTGGTCAATATGAGTTATTTGAAGCAAATGACCAATTGTAAGCCTCAACTTAGTTCTAAGCCATCTCCTTCAAATAGCATGTAGAATTTAATTAATGCAAATTATTTAATTTGAAGGTCATATAAATCTTATAAACATTAATATGTTTTCATACTTTATTTAATAAAGAAAGAGAAGAGGTCAGGAGGGGAGAAAACCTAGGGATCATGCTTACATTTTCTCATCTTGCTGAGTTTTCTTCCCTAAAGCAAGAAATAGGAAGTGGCTAGGAGGTGGTGGTACTGAACTTTTTTGGGGGGAAGCTGAGGCATTTCAACTAGTTTCACAGTCTTAACTTGGGTTTTGCCAACCACCGTTGGCTTTCATCATTACCAGTTCCACCTAGGTCTCTAGAGAAAGTTGCAAAGTACACAAAGATAAAATTGTTTATGCTTGTTTCTTTCTTCCTTTCTCTTTCTCATTCTTCCTCTTTCCTTTCCATTTTCTTTTTGTCTTCTCTCACCTTCTTACAGTCTTCGCCTTTCACCTGACAATCTCTAGCTGTCCAGACTCTTCTATCCCATTTGGATCAACATTTTCTTCTTTCTGCCTTGGATGAAATGTCCTTTCTCTGAGTTGTTTCCATTCAGTGTACTGTAGAAATTATATACAGGGTAAATCTTTGTGAGCTAGGCTCTCGCTCATCTGAGCTAGTGCTTTTCTCTTTTTCCCATTCTCCTCTATTCAATTTGCTGGGAGGGGAATAACTTCAATTAGCAACACTCCCCAGACCACACTTTTGGGATTAACATACCCCTCTCTGGAGCTGGTTATTCCTTGGAGAGTACATCTCAATTGGCACAGAAAATCTCAAAAATTGATAATTATCAAATAGTAAGTTTTTCTTTGATCAGGAATATAAAACCTGCTTCAAAAATTAATATGCTCATCAAAGGTAAGTATTATAAGAATGCATTCTTAGCTGCACTACCGTCTCCTTCACCGTGATTAGTTGGGTATAGACTACAGTGTCTCTTCATTTCTTCTGCAGAGATTACAATCAGCATTTGGTTTAAAACATAGTTTTACAAATGTTTGCTTTTAAATTGTTCAGTATTTAATGAGCTCTTTCTGACTGGTGTTGCCAGCCTGTATTTTTGCTGAGTCATCTTTTTTCTTTCTCTGTGGTGTCAGTAAATTTGTTCACAAAAGTAGAAAAATTGCCCACCTGTAATAAATACCCCTGAAAGCAGTCGCCAGCACTAGAGCAGCCCACTTTTATACAGATTATTCTATTTTCAGGGCTTCTGATCCTTTTTCTCTTTATTAGTTGCTGTAGTGATGACCCAGACTCTGGTTAATAGACCTTGATTAAAATGAAGGCAATCAATAAGCTCTCTCACTCTAATGTTTATGCTGATAGCGCCTAATAACATATAATATATCCAAATAAAAGGTAGCCATATAAGTATATCCAATAATGGAATTTTACTTAAAAAAAAAATTTAAAAAGATGTTTCTGTAACTTGAAATGTTACCAAGTAAATTCTGTGGCTTTCTTAGAATGCCTAGAATACCTGAGTGAGGGCATAACAATATAGTTACAACTTGAAATACAGGTTTGAAAGATCATTGTGAAATGGAAAATAAAACTTTCTTATGACAGCAAGCTTTAAAAGTCACAAGCACCAGGATTAATAATTTCTAATGCAAAGGGAAGTCAGAGAACTCTTTTAACAGCTCTTCTTAAGAACACTCAAGGCCAAGCGCTCCTCATATGCACCTGCACCACTAATGATTTCAGAGGAATCCTGAAACACTCAGGAGAAGCAAAGTTACTGATCTGCCAGAATTCACAAAGCAAAGTCGAAGAGCATGGATTATGTTTGTTTCCAAAGTTCACGTAACAGTTTTAAATCTTCTGCTTATTTAAAGTAAGCAAATTAGAGAGACTACTGTTGTTAGGGTTATAGTGAAATGTCTTATGAACACTTTTTTTTTTTTTTTTTAGGACTCTGACTCTTTGCTTTAGAATTAAATATCTTTTTAAATTTGTTCGTATGTCTTTGTTCACACTTTGTAAGTAAAATTCAAGTGTACTTCATATAATAAACTCTCTAAGATTGTCAGTGTGAAGAAGGAAGCCTGAGGAATGGCTTAATTCACCAAGTCCACTATCATTACCATTTGTTTAAGACTTTAAGGTACAAGGATTATGCTATTGCTTTCCCTGCACTGTCTGTCATTCTCGTTGGCCTGTTCAGGAGTCAGCTGGGGGCCAGTTTGTCCAAAGTCAACATAGCAACGGCGTGGCAGCCCAGGATTGGAACTGGGCTTGCCTCTCTCCAAGGCCTACATTCTTCTACTTCTCCTTGCTTTTTGAGAACCTACGTCTTCAGAATTCTGTTCCTATAGTCTATCAAATACACCACAAGGTTTATTAGAAGTAAAAATCTATATTACCAACAGTAGGACTTGGAGAAAAAACTAAATTAATGCTGAGATTCTCTTTAGGTGAATGGAAAGGAACAATGTGCTAACAGTTTCAAGTGGCATTTACCATCTAACATGGTGTCAAAGTAGCTTTTGTGAAAAACACAGGAAGTATCTCTTATCATAGGAGTTCATGGGCAGTGCAAATGGTTAACGCACTCAGCTGTTAACCAAAAGTTTAGATGAGTCCACTTAGAGGTGCTTGGAAGAAAGGCCTGGCGATCTACTTCTAAAAAATCAAGTCAGTGAAAACCTTATGGAGAGCAGTTCTACTCTGATATACATGGGGTCACCATGAGTCAGAGTTAACCCAGTGGTAACTGGTTGGCTATCTTTCATCATAGATTCATTATGAACCACTTTTTTTTTCTAAATTATAAAAAAAAGATTTGTAAAATGCAAAATAAAGCTTAAGTTAAAACAGGCTATGTATATTTTAAAATTAGACTCACAAATTCAATGTTAAACTTAATTTGGTTTCAGTTATCACATTTATTTTTCTAAAACTAAAAATCTGGTCTTTTACTTATTAAGGACAAAATTAGTAGAATTTTCCAGGATTCTGTCATTCTGGAACTATTTATTGATCACCTACTGTGTGTCAGGCACTGCTGTAAACACTGCGGGGATAGCTGTGAACAGCTGTGAACAAAACATAGTTCTTTCTCTCGTGAAGCTTACATTCTCTGGAAGGAATCATAATAAATAAATGAATAAATGATGTTCTAGGTGGTGATAAGAGACGGGGTTAGAATAAAGAAGGAGAAGGGTATAGAGAGTGAATGAGGGTTGGTAGGATATGCTATTTTAGATAGAGTTGTCATCTAGGACCATCACGTTTCACTGAATTACTGCTTTTGGTTTTTAATTGGTCCTTTGCTTTTACTATTGCCCCCTAGTGTCTATTCTCCAAACAGCAGCCATTCAAAATGAAAGATCTTGTCTCTCCCCTGCTCAAAACCCTGCAACAGCTTCTACTTAGAAAAAATTCACAGTCCTTCTCTTAGCCTACAAGACCTCACATGATCTTTTCTTTTTTTACCTCTATGATTCCATTTCCTTCTGTATTTCCCTTCACTTACTGCATTCTAGGTCCATGCTAGCTGTTGCTCCTGAATATGCCAAGCAGGCTCCCACCTCAGGGCCCTTGCACTTGCTTTTCCTCTTCTGGAACACTCTTCCCTATGATACCTCCACCAGTTGCTCCTTTGCTTCACTCAGGTCTGCTGAGACACCTCCCAGAGTAGCCTTTCCTCATCACTCTCTCTAAAGTAGCATCCTGCCATCACTCCCTCTTTTCTCTCCTGCTCTTTTGCTCATAGTACTTATCATCTGTTGACTTTGTATTACAAAACTCCCTGTTTAGTAAATGTATGAGAACATAAGCTCTACGAAAGCAGGGATTGGGATTTTTCACTCAGCCCCATAGCTCCAGCACCTGGAATAGTGGGAACACGTTGCAAGAGCTCAATAATTATTTATGGCACGAATGAATGAGTGAATGAATGTGCTCCCAGAATGGACTGCTAAATAGAAAAGAGAATAGAAAATAATAGGAAAGTGTTAAATGCTTTGGAAGTTTTTAAAAAAGATCCCATGTGCTAGTGCCTTTCCACGATCCTAATTCTGTTTCCCATTGTCACCTGGCATAACCATTCCTAGCTGCAACCTAACCTCAACTCCCTTTGCCCATGTTTGGTTAGACAACACAATCTTTACCAATTAACATAACAGCATATTGTTTAAGTTGTACATTATAGGTGTAAAATCTTGGTGACTGCTTTGCCAATTTTGAACATATTTAAAATGGGTTAATTTGTGATCATGTTCTTTCTTTTTTTAACTGCAGCATCACCAAATGCCTCCAGACTCGGACCCATGGCGCTGACCGTTGTTATTACTGTGCCCATTTGCCTCTTCTCCATAGCTGCAATGCTGACTGTATGGACATGCCAAGGTCGGCCGTGCACACACAGGAAGAAAAAGCGACAGAATGTGGAGGAACCACTCTCTGAGTGCAATCTAGTCAATGCTGGAAAAACTCTTAAAGATCTGATTTATGACGTGACCGCCTCAGGATCTGGCTCTGGTATGTGGCCGTTGTCTATTGCTTTAGTAAGAAAAGTCCTTATTTAAAAATACATCAAAAGGTTTTTTTTTGACTCAAATTTCATGAATTCCATTTTTAAAAATTCTTGATATGGTACATGGTAAATTCTGGTATAGAAACTTTGTGTAGGATTTGATGAAGAGAAGAAACTGTCATGGCCTAAAGAATTCTCATGTTCACATTCTTTCAGAACTTACTGATGAAACAAAAGGGGTTTCTCTCCTCCATCCCATTATGGCTGGTAATAATCATGTTGCTGTCTTGGTAATGCTTTATGGGCACAAAAGACTTACTGCCTTTGAGAAACTGAATTCTGGGGGAAAGATATTAGTTAAGCAAGTTTGTGTTCTTAGAACACCTTTGCTTGTGGTTATGAAGGTCTTCAGAGTCTGCAGGCACCCCTGGGATATGTGATTGAGGTTATCAGGGAGCTGACCTGAAATTAAAATGAAGAACATGCAGTTAAAGTATAGAAATGGAAGATAAGAGGAAGCAGAACAGACTTCCTTTGCTGACTTTTCCTGCTTTAGGGTTCTATGATAACTCCCTTCCTCTTTAACGGTACTCTAGAACACCTGGTAAAATAATTCAACGTAGCAGTCTGTATTATAGCCTAAAGCACAAGACATGTCAGTTTAAGTTTCAGATGACAGAGCAGGTATTCCCCCATACTAAAAAACTCCCTAAAGTTCAGGGGATTCCCTGCTCTCATATATATTTCCAGAAGTCCTACCAGCACACGATATTGCAGAAATGTTGACTAGGGTAAGCCTAGATGAGCCACTTCAGAAGCCCCTGTATTCCTTCTTGCTTTGGGAGAATCATTAAGGATTATTACCCCAAACAGATTTTTGAGGAACTCACCTGTCAATGGTCTTTAGAAGCTTCCAGACGGGCACAATTAATAGAGGCAGATGACAGAGGAGGCACAGCTTGGTGCTTCAATTGTACTGGGACCACATCTATATGACTGTCTATATTCAGCATGAAGGATCTTTGGACTCACAAGGATTCTTTACAAAAGAAAAGAGTAATTGTGCCATCTACAGAGTCTCTTTGAGTCTTTGCTGCTTCTGGGGGCAAGGTCATCTGCCCTCTCGCTGACCAAAGTCTAATTGTTGACACCGTCACTGCACAAATTAGGTAGTATGTTTTCAAAGGAGGACTATTGGAAAGAAAATCTTCAATGACTAAATTTATAAAACTAGAATCAAAATTAAATTATTGGATAGAAAGTTGGCATTCTTTCTCTAAAAGTAAAACTTGTTTGGATTCACTACTCTTTCTTTCTCTGAATGTTAAATTTTGAGCACCCCTGTACTCCAATTTCTTGAGCACTGGCAACATTCCAGGCATGGCACATGGGCACAGACAGCTATAATCTGTGCCAAGTTTCCTGAATTTATTTTGAAGATTCAAGTGATTGAACCTATTTTATCCTCACCAAAACACTGTAGTTCACCTGGTGATGTGAAGTAGAAATGTTGATTTTGGAGTTACTCCTTAAATATTTTGAAGATGACCAGGGATTTGCTTTTCAGATAAAAGCGATAGAGATTTTTAAACTGGAGATTGGATATTTAGTTTAAGAAAGTAATCATAAGCCATGGCATAAAATTAAAAAAAAAAATGATAAAGTTTTTTGGTATTTTTGTACACCTTTAAACCTAAATCTGAATTTATTGATTGTGCTAAATTCTCATCTGTTTAGATTATTCTGAGATCTCTTGTAAAATGAAAACAGCAAGCGTGTCCAAGCATGGATGATTTCCTGAATGACTAATTCAAAATAATTCTAGGAATTTTTTTCTAAAGTCAGATGCATATGTTTGTCAGTGGCCACTGGCTAAAAGTAGCTGATGGCCTCACTGCCTTTGATAATCAGAGAGAGAATGGATCTATCCACGGCAAGTCTTCCCTCACCAACACTCACATGCGGGAAGGAAATCAGGCGGTTCTACTTCCCTCTGCTTTCCCTTACTTGTCAGAAACCTTCAAAGGGAGGCAGCTCTGTCAGATGTTGACAACCAAAAATTGTGAAGCTTGTTCTTAAGCTGTCAGGAACACACTTCAAAGAGATATAATTCCTGCAAGAGAGGAAAATGGACTGTTTTTTATTGGACTCTCTTTGAGAGGGGATTATGTCTCAGGTGACTTCTAAGAGACTGGGTAGCTTTCTGTTTTCCTTTTGTGGTGTAACAGTTCTGACAGACGGTGACAGAAAGATGTCTTTCCATAAGAGAGGCATCAACTTTGTACTCTCTGGTAAAAAGAGTAAAATACACCTACAGGGAGAGGCAAAGTCCATCTATCTTGAAATGAAATTTCTAAGTATGTAACACAAGAATTAATCAGATTATTTTTGGTGCTTGCTTTGAATAATACTGAAGCAACTTTCATTGAGTTTTACCATCTCACCTTAACTGATGTGTTTAGTACTTTATTGGATGTTGTGTTTTCTTTGTTCCTGGTCTGCACCACTGACTATGCGCTTGATCAATTTGTAGTTTGAAAACACTGGCTTATCTAGTTCTTTATTTGATTGGCAGTGGTGGTGGAGATGGTGGTGACGTTTGTGTCAGTGTTTGTGTGTGTGTGTGTGAGAGAGAGAGAGAGAGGTGTGTGTATATGTGTGAGAGAGAGAGATTTGGCCTAATTAGTTGGTAACCAACCTAATGAAGATTGTTAGTATAATTTTTAGTGTGTAGTCAATCGGTAAAATTGATTGTATCCTACAGAAATAACCTATTTTACAGCTTGCTGCTAGAAGTCTTCCCAACAGAGGAGGGCTTCAGTCATATCCACTGAGTAGTGAGAGGGCGAGAGCGAGGATTGAAGACCAGGGTTTAAGTTCTAGGTCTACCTCCCACTAAGAGCACAGTCCTGGGCAAGTCATTGATTACTGCCAGGCCTCAGTTGTCTCATCTACACAATAATAAAGTTAAACCCAATGATCTCGAAAGACTTTTCTGACTCTAGAACTTTGTGGCTAATTGTTGAGACCCATAACTATGAATGTTATAATCTGTGTTTATTTAACCATAGTGGGTGATTCTCATGAAGATGACAACATCTGAATATACAGTATCCTATTTTAGGATCAGGAATCAAAGCTCACAGGAGCTACAGGATTGTTACTATGAGGGTTCTGGCCATCTGAGTACAATGACAATAACAAAAATGTGACTTTCCAGAATAAATTTACATGGTAATCTCCTTAAATATTTTACATCTAATTATAAGAGTAATAGATACCCATTGAGGAAATAAACAAAATGTTGAGAAGTAGAAAGAAGATAACAATTCATCCTGACTCCACCAAATAGAAATAACCATTTTAGCGTGTAGCATATTTCTTTTTCAGTCTTTTTTTGTGTGTATTTTAAATAGCTAGACACATTTATTTATATGCATAAAATTTACTATGCCATTTTCACTTAACATTATAGCAAACATGCTTTTCCTTATCATTAAAAAGTACCTCTTCATAAGCAGCTTCATTATTACTATCTCCAAGTGACTCCTGTGACTATAACATAATATTAAGGACTAACCATGACTGAGTGTGTGGTATGCCAGACTGTGCTAGTTCCTTAACATGCACAAGCTTATTCTCTTGATGGTCTTATTAATTCTCATTCTAGCCGTATGAGATAAGTAATGTTATTATCTCCATTTTTTCAGGTGAGGAAGCTGAAACTGAGAGAGGTTCAATAACCTGCCCATGGTTTCCTAGCTCCACCTGGCACAGCTGAAATTTGAACCAAACTCTCTTATTTGTGCTCTTAATCTCTGCACTGTATTTCACAGTTTGTCTATTATCTGACACTTTTCCTCCTTTTTCCTAGAACTATAATAATCATAATGTATTAGACATTTTGGACATATTTTTCTGCATTTTGCATTATATCTTTAGGATAGAATTCTAGAAGTGACGCTATCGGTTCAAAGAATATAAACAAATTATATATACTCAGAATAGATTTTCTTTGAAATTCTTTTGTTCCAGGGAAAGTGTTCATTTGATATTTTCTATGACTATGTCTTACTTTTAGTGTAACATCGTTGCCTCACTTGACCATTGGATTTGATTCTTCACTTTCCAACTTTATTTTGGTTTTGAAAACAAACTCACAAGGTATTCTTTTGCCTTTTCAGTTGTACTACGAATCGTACACTTTATTTTAGAGTCTAACAAAAATGTGTTTTTTACCCTTGTGTATTTAATAACCTGATTGCGTTTGGTGGGCAAATCAGGGAGGTTTGCAACAATTCTGGAAAATCAGACATCTGCAGCAACAGGTGGTGTTCATGAAGTTTATACTTTTGAATATGAGAAGAGAATTTCATATTAAGAATGTATTTTTTTTCAAGCATACATGGAAATTAAAGTTTGGTATAACAGTGCTTATTTCTTCAAAATCAGTAAAATTATTAAAGTGCTTACATTTTTTAACGCAAAAGTGGTGGTCACATGACAGTTTTTTTCTGGCACTTCCTTATTTTTATCCTTCATTCCACCTCTTCTTTGCTTAGGTCTACCTCTGTTGGTTCAAAGAACAATTGCAAGGACGATTGTACTTCAGGAAGTAGTAGGAAAAGGTAGATTTGGTGAGGTGTGGCATGGAAGATGGTGTGGGGAAGATGTGGCTGTGAAAATATTCTCCTCCAGAGATGAAAGATCTTGGTTTCGAGAGGCAGAAATTTATCAGACGGTTATGCTGCGACATGAGAACATCCTTGGTTTCATTGCTGCTGACAACAAAGGTATATTTTCAATCTAATTGGGTCCAACCCATACGAAACCCATTGCAGTCAAGTCTATTCTGACTCATAGCGATCCTATAGGACAGAGTAGAACTGCCCCGTAGGGTTTCCAAGGCTGTCATTTTTATGGAAGCAGACTGCCACATCTTTCTCCCACAGAGCAGCTGGTGGGTTTGAACCGCCAGCCTTTCCATTAGCAGCCAAGCACTTAACTACTCTGCCACCAGGGCTCCTATAACTGGGTCCAGCAAATAAAAATGTTATGTCTATTATAAGATGAGAATAAATAAATTAATCTCTTTGTTTTAATGACAGCTACATAAAAGTCTAATTTCCCTATTGTGGAGAGAAAATCCTTTTCTCTACAGATAAATGTACATAACCATACAATAAAACAGGGCAAGGCTGTCATAGGAAATTATGATGACGCTATAGCCAGTTGGGTATTTAAAATACTTGATGATTCATATGGTGCAGGAACCAGCCAATCAGAACAGAAGGCTGAGCTGGAGCAGAGTCCTGGAGAACCCTGCCAAGCTAGGTTTTAACCCTTTAGTTAGTTATGAGATCATGGATGGATCCGGAGGTATCCGGAAGGATAGGGGAGGTGTTAGTTTGGGTGGCTGGAGCAAAGGAGTGTCATTTGGTAGTTTTAACTAGCAGTTGCTTATCACCCAGGAGAGAAGTATTTTGGTATTTTAGTAACTGATATAGACATACCAATAAATGCCAGCTAAATATTCACCTTTGTTAAAGCTGTGTTTTTCTTCTCTGTAACAGGTTTCATTTCCACGACTCAAGTTTTCTATGAACGTTATCTCTTTAGATTGTGTTAGAATAGCAGCAAGCAAGACCATTTTAATGAAATTTTCTATTAATGTTACTTTGTGCATAATTTGTATCTTGAGGTTGAACATTAACGACCCCAAACAGTATTATTACTTTTTGAGTTTCATTGAGCAAGACAAGGCCAACTTTCTGGTATTTAATTCAATGTTCGTAACATACTGTATATATCCTTGATATATATATATCCTTGTATATATATATATCCTTGTATAAATCCTTGTGGATTTTCTGTCCTCTGTTTCTTCTTTTTTTCATAGTTTTTACTCATTTAACAGTGCATTATTGCTTTTTCCAAAGGGAAACAGGGAATAAAAGCAAGAAAAACTTGATCCAGCCAATTATTATTTATTTTTTTACTTGAAACAGTAGTACACATAAAGAACTTTGGTGAGGTAATGATTGTAACCACTATCTTAAAAAAGATTGAAACAAATTATCCATGGCTATCACAGATCCACTCTTACTTGTGAAAATTCAAAATCCACAGTTATTTTTGTCTAGTATAAAGTTGATCATAAAGTTATTCATTGATAAGTAAATGGCAAAGAGAAGCACAGCATTTTTGTACATTTTATCCATAATTATGTTTGCTGATGATGTTTCATTCCTAATTTGGTAGAGTTTAGGGAAAAACTGAATAAAGCTAATTTGAGCTAAAAAAAAAAGGTTCTTTCAAATTCTTAACTACATATACTTTGAGAATAATCCAGACTATCGAAAATGACACGTTTCTCACTCAACTCTTATGAACTTTTTCTTTTCCTTCCTAATCTTGGGCTGAATTACCTAATACCACAAACCAAATTTGTATGTTCATACTAATTCACAATGCTACCAAAGCAGTAATGACTATGGTTATATGGACCATCGTGATGGGGCTGAATTAATCACAATATTTATTGGATTATAAAATATTGCACAAGAAAGCTCAGCTAATCCTTTAATTTTTTCTTCTTAATCTAATTGGTCTACCTTTGTCTGATCCTTACTTGTCAGTGGCTTTGTGTATGATTCCAAATGGTCTCTAACATCACTTTCATCATCATGAATGCCTGTATCTTTGGCAAGATGTACAGTTTCACGTTTTAGTCAACTGCCTGATAAAGACATTGATGTGAGGGCAAAAATAGTCACTGGTGGCAAGCGGAAAGAGAGGTGTGAATAGGGTTAGATTTTTATGTGGTCAGTTGATTAGTGAACTTTATCCTGTTTTGTTGACTTTCACAATTCTAGGAAATTTTATTACTACCTGGACTTGGAAATCAAATATTTGAATAATGAGCAGCCCTTATACATAAAGCACCTGGCAGAAAATGTTCTTAGCAAATGTTCATTATAGAGTCCTTCCCTGAGCGTCAGAACTAGTCAGAATGGCCCAGGGCTATTATAGACACTTTATTCCGAAGGCTAAATCGAACTCTGGGGACTCTAATACCTAGAGAAGTTTTAGGCTGATTTCTTTTCTAATGAAAATATTTTATAAGTTGGATTAATTTTTGGTTAAATGGGGAAAATGATTGGAAAATATCTCGTAATTGTGCTTGGCTCTTAATACAAACTCTTGGGGAAAATGATCAACTTCATGTTTTGAAAGGTGAATAGCATGAACATTCTTAGAATGTTAGAGCTTTTTTGATAGTAATACTTTGTGTAAATTTGTTATGTTTCACATTTTTATTGGTACAATCTTTCTTAAAAGCTCAGAATAATTGTAACATAACTCTGAACCTAGATGCATATCTCAGTGGTTTCTCCGATCATGTGATTGCTATTACCAGCAGATATTGATATAGAGGAAATAAAAAAGGAATTGTTTAGTGGCTAGAATCACTGCCTCATAGCTCCCTATAGCTATGATGGGTACATATAATTGGTTCTAATATATCAACGAGGAGCCCTGGTGGCACAATTGTTAAGCACTCAGCTACTAACTGAAAGGTTGGTGGTTTGAACCTACCAGCTGCTCTGCAGGAGAAAAGACCTGGTGATCTGCTCCCGTAAACATTTCAGCCTTGGAAACCTTATGGGGCAGTTCTACTCTGTCCCATAGGGTCACTAGGAGTCAGAATCGGCTTGACGACAGATAATAACAACAACATATCAACATCTTCCGGAATCCATTGAGAATTTTGACTTTACTAACTTGCACTGCTAACATCATGAATTCACTTTGCTTTGTTACAATATAAATTAACTTTAAGCACTGGTATTTGTTTCTTAGACATATATTTACAGCAATAAAAGTATTTTCCTAATTTGGCAATGGATGCGGGTGATGGTTGCACAACATGCTTAATATAATCAATGTCACTGAATTGTACATATAAAAAATGTTGAATTGGCAAATGTTGTGTTATATATATTTTTACCACAATAGATTTTTTTTTCTTGTTAGATAATGGAACTTGGACTCAACTTTGGCTTGTATCGGAATATCATGAACAAGGCTCCTTATATGATTATTTGAATAGAAACATAGTGACAGTGGCTGGAATGATCAGACTGGCACTTTCAATAGCTAGTGGTCTGGCCCACCTTCACATGGAGATTGTTGGTACACAAGGTATGTATCTCCTTTCTAATTTTTTTTTCTCCTTGAATGTGTAAATAGAAACACTATGTTGTATTTTAGTGTTTAGTTGCATTTTACTTTTTTACAAACAGTTATCAATATAAAGAAACACTAAAGTTACTTTATAAAGCTGAAGGTTTTGTCATGATTTGGTCAGCTCTCATCCATTTATATACTTATCATTTTGTATATTATCTGTGATAATATTTTTATTCCTAGTGGCTCCATCTTTGCCATTTAGCATGTATGTCTGGCAGATCTTGCTGTGGTGGTAAATACTCTATATTCAGAGAATACAACAATTTAAATGTTCATTTTTGATTAAAAAAAAGTGGAGACTTCCAGCAAAATGGCACTCTAGGCAGAAGCACCACGCCGTCCCTCCACAGCAAAGATCCAAAAAACTAAGCCGAACAGAGAAAACAACAATCCTGAAACCCTAAAACATCAAATGAAGAGATAAAGAACTCAGCCAAGCACCAAATGGAGTGAGAAAACTGACAGAGAATGGAGAGCGAGGAGAGATTTATGGAGAGGTCCCCTATCAGCTAATGCAGCATGGATCCGCCATCTTGGACTCCTATCGGAGACCAGCAAACGGGGTATGAGAAAGCAGCTTCATGGAGCTTCCAGCGGGAGATAAAACAACCGGTAATTTGCGATATATGCCTTCCCACCCCCCACCCTTCTTCACCGCCACTCGGCCTCCTTTGCTTCCCGCGGCCACAATCTTTTGTTCGGGAAGCACCGCTGCTTGGATTCCACCCACCCGAATGGGCCGGCTCTCTGAGTGCCATTTGTTGGCTGCTGGTGTTGCTTTTTTCCACGTCTTTTGATTTCTTCCTTACCTCTCACCACGTCCCCCTCCTTTTGCTCAAATACCTGGCTCCGTGCACCATCTTTGCTTCTTCCTGAGGAGCTGCGGAGCTTCGTTAGAGTGTGGAGCTGCTTCCCGGTCTGGGCTGCCACGCTGGTGGGATCCTGGGGCTTTTGTTCATTTGTTTGGTTTGAATTGTTTGTTTGTCTTCTTTTCCTTTTCTTGAGTTGGGAGCCCGTTCTGGCCAGGTGGTGCTGCATGGCTTGGAACTTACCCCCTCGGCTTGTACAGATGTGCAGAGGGATCCCTGAGGGCATTTCTTTTTTCCTTGTTTTTTTTCTGTTTTCTGGGGGGCTTTTCTTGTTCTTTTTTTTTAAAATTTGTTTTGTTTTCTTTTCCCTCTTTTTTCCTTTTTGTCTTTCTTCATTACTCAGTTTCTTGTCTCTCTATATCTTCCTTCTCTTTCTGTTCTCTGAATACCTGGTGTTGTATACCTCTACGCCTTCTAGCCAGGCTGTACTGCAACACCTGAGAACAACTTCCCCAGACCTCATAGCTGCACCAGTGGGATCCCTGGGAACTTTGCTGTTCTTTTCCCTTTCTGATTTTTCATTCTTTTCTTTTCTTCCTCTTCCCCTTTTTGTTTTTCTCCATTTCATAGTCTCTCATCTCTCCACTCCAATGGCAAGCTGCCCTAGCATTCTTTTTTGTTTGTTTTGCATGTTTTTGGCTTCTGTTCCTCTCTCCTCTCTCCCATATCCATCTTAGCTCCACACATAACAATCTCCCCGCTACATCCTGCCTACCTGCACCGTGCGCTTGACATCACACCACCAAGCAGCACAGGCACGGCCTACTGGAACCTGCCCTGCACTGATTACTGACCTGCCCTGGTGGCTGTAGGGAGTGCCACAAACAACCCATCCCAGTAACTCCTCTTCAGCTAGACCTGCCCTGCCGTACCATATCTGAGTGACTGACCCTGCCAGTTGGAGAAGGAGGCGAAAAGTATTGTGCCCACAGACGAACAAACAACAAAGAACACACAGCCTGCCTGCTCAGACATAGCCAAATTAAAAAAAAAAAAGGGATGAAACAAACAAATCTACAATCAGTAAACGAGAAAAATAACTACCGAATGCCCTGAAGACAGGAGACAATATCAAAACATTTACAAAAACGGGACAGGATGGTTCCAGTAGGCGTCCAAAATAAAACACCACATGACTTTCCAGTGGAAGAAAAGGCACTAGAACTACCTGATAGGGAATTCAAATCTCTAATACTCATAAGTCTCCAAGAGCTGAAGCAAAAAGCAGACAAAAATGAGGAAAAAATAGACAAATTCATGGAAAATACAGACAAAAAATTGGAAGAATTCAGAAAAATAATGCAGGAACAAAATGCCAAAATAAATTCACAACTAGAAATTATACAAAAACAACAATTAGAAATCCAAAAGATAAACAACAAGATTTCAGAAATGGATGGTGTCGTAGAAGGGCTGAGAAGCAGATTTGAAGGTGGAAGACAGGATCAGTGGAATTGAAGACAAACCCTTGGATAGAACTCTGGTTGAGGAAAACTCAGAAAAAAGAACACAGAAAAATGAAGAGACCCTGAGAGTTATGTGGGATACAATCAAAAGCAAAAATTTGTGAGTGATTGGAGTTCCAGAACAGGGGGAGAAAAAAAAAAAAAGTGGAAAGGGTAATATGACCTTGAAAAAAAATATGTATCATGTATTTGGAAACCATATAATACCCAATACCTTTTCTGTTTATTGAGTTAATAGAGAGGTAGCTTTAGAAAGTCATTAGTCTAGGCAGGACAGTTGTTCTCACTTTTGGACTCTTTCTTGAAAATTACTGAGACTCCTCCCAAGTTCTTGTGTATGTGGGTTATATCTATCAATATTTGCCATATTAGAAATGAGAACTGAGAAATTAGAAATATTTATTTAAAATAACTGTAATAAACCAATTAAACATTAACATAACATAGTATCTTTAACATTGTATTTTCTAATTCAAAAACTAATTTAGTGAAAATAATGATTTTGTTTTAAATTTTTGTAAATCTCTTTAATGTCTGGATTTTTAATCTACTTCTTCATTCAATTTGTTGTAATATGTTTTTTGGTTGAAGTGTATGAAGAAAATCTGACCTTATACAGACATATAGTTGGGAAATGGTTTCCAAGAACCCCTCTTTGGGCCATATTTGAGAACCACTGGTCTAGGGTAGCAGAGGTTTGAAATGGTAATTCTTTTTCCATTCATCCAATAAATATTTGTTAATGCCTAACACATGCCACAGAGTGTCATCTAAGCCTTGGAGGCATAGTGATGAACAACACAAAGTCGCTGTCCTCATTTAGCTTACAGTCTAATTAGGAAAGACAGATAATAAACACGTACATAAGTAAACAAAATAATTTAGATAGTGAAAGAAACTATGTAGAAAGCAAAATGGGGTATTCTGATGGAGAATATTTGAGGTGTCAGGGAAGACCTCTCTGGGGAGGTGACATTTGAATCTTGTCTTCAAAATGATTTCATTTGGAGAAAGTCAATATTCCATAAATAAAAACATGAATATTATTTCCTTATGCTTCATAGGTAAACCTGCTATTGCTCATCGAGATATAAAATCAAAGAATATCTTAGTGAAAAATTGTGAAACTTGTGCCATAGCGGACTTAGGGTTAGCTGTGAAGCATGATTCAGTTCTGAACACTATTGACATACCTCAGAATCCTAAAGTGGGAACCAAGAGGTAAGGTGAATTACTTTAGTAGCATGTAAGACTTAAAAAACCAGTTGCCATCAAGTTAACTCTGACTCGTGGTGACCCCATGTGTGTCAGAATAGAGTTGTGCTTCATAGGGTTTTCAATGACTGAAGTAGATCACTAGGACTTTCTTCTGAGAAACCTCAGGGTGGACTCGAACTTTCAACCTTTTGGTTAGCAGCCAAGAGTGTTAACTGTTGCATCACCTGGGGACTCCATACAAGCCTTATAATTGCCCAATAAGCATGAATGCCTGGGATATTGTATAGAAAGGGTGGGTCAGAATGGGAAATCATTAGGTCCAAGGAAGCAAGAAGTCTTCTCCAGGTCCCTGAGAAGTTAGTGAGGACAATTGTTATTAAAGCAAGGAGAGATGGCATTTTGGTTGTATGGATGGTGGAAGAAATGGTGATATAATATTTCAGAGTGCCACATTCTGTGAATGCATTTTCCTATAGATCGGAAAGGAATATATCAACAGCTTATATTCCCACTAAAGCCTTTTTACCTGAAACTCAGGCCTTTAAAAAATAGTCCTAGTTCTATATGTTCTAGTTCTTAACAATAGATACAGAATCAATAGATCGATTAGGCACTCTATATAATAAATATATATATATGTGCTATTATATTCCATTAGTACTTAAAAATATTATATCATAATTTATGTTTTCATTTATTGTCATACTTATCCTTAAGTCTCCCAAACTGATGTATATTACAAGATAATATGAGTTTGCAGAGTTCCCACTTTCACGGAACAGAATCTCTGGAAATTAAGAACAAGCCTGGTTTAAACAGAGCATACCACACATGTATGAGGGATAGGCTCATCAGTAATAGGATTTTTGTTGTTTTTGTTGTTATGGCCAGCCTGTGGGGCAGTTACCTTCACTTCCTTTTATGTGAGTTGCAGCCTCTATGCTATCTTGGCATAATTCCAGGGTTCTTGACCTTGAAATCAAAAACAACCAAAACATTTTCCTGGAGTTCTTAAAGGTCCTTGAGAGAAGAGAATTTCTGAGCTGCTATAGCTTGCCTCCAAGCTGCGTTTGAGATTTCAGGATAGTCCTGAGTCTTCTACTTGATTTCCAGGGAGAATTTAATGAGACCCCAGGAACACTTCAGGGAAGTTAGACGGGGCAGCCCTAAGGGACCTCATTCCTTTCCCTCGAAAAAGAAAGCCTCTTACCATCTGACTGTCCCCACATGGAGAACCCTTAGGGAAGCCTGGAATGCCAGATTCCTTCAGAGTTTCTAAAACATTAAAGGGCCTCTAGAGGTTGTTGCTCATAGCAACTCATAGGGACCCTATAATCAACTCGACAGCAACGGGTTCTTAGAGGGTGAGTCCTTGCTTCAATAATCTGGGAATTATAGGTTGGCTAGGCTCAGTCAGGTCCCACAAATTCTAGATGTCTTCGATTTAACACTGTTCAAACAAGGCTGTAAAATTCTTGAAGTTAATGTATTATAAAATCGTCACTGAGAGAAGACATTTGAGGAATACTGCTGAGCACTGTTTTGGCGTCCCGGGCATACCACAATGAAGAAAACACACTCTTTGTCCTCAAGTAGGAGTCCCTGGGTGGTGCTACAGTTAATGTGCTCAGCTGCTAACCAAACAGTTCCACCCAGAGGCACCTCAGAAGAAAGGTCTGATGATCTGCTTCTGAAAAATCAGCCATTTGAAAATCCTATGGAACACAGTTGTACTCTGACACACATGAGTCAGAATTTACTTGTCAGAAACTGGTGGTGGCCCCCAAGGAGCTTTCTGTAGCAATGAGCTAATGGAGGAAATGGAGTTCCATCTCCCTACTGAGTGCTTTACTCACGGAGTTTCCCTCTGGCTTGTACTTTCCAATGACTGTATTTGGCTACTGGTATACTGGCTATAATACTGAGTGGGATGACCTCTAGTTCTGTTGAAAAAATTTTTTAACTGAGGGTTGAGTTAATAACTGTAATATTTAACTTTATTGTAAAATTGATGTAAGCTATCTTAATTTATATCTTACATCAGGTTTTATTAAGATTATGTTTTACTGAACTGCTATAAAGTCATGCACAGAACCTGAAATGTACATGTTTTTGAAGGTATATGGCCCCTGAAATGCTTGATGATACCATAAATGTGAATATCTTTGAGTCCTTCAAACGTGCTGATGTTTATTCCACTGGTCTGGTTTACTGGGAAATAGCCCGAAGGTGTTCAGTTGGAGGTAAGCTTTGACTTCTTAAGACTTCGAAAGTATTCTTTCTGTTTGCCTTTCCATGATACTGTGAATACAAACTGTGATTTTCTAATTTTTTTTTTTTTTCTAAGCAGCACATTAAATTACTTCTACATATTTAAGAAAATAACTTTTGGTGATTTTTTTCTGGAAACGAAGTGGCGCATACAGCAAATACCGAAGATTTTATAGTGTGATTACTGCTTGGGGCAGGCGGATGCGGTGCAGTTCTCCTAATAATTCTGATTCCCATAGTGATACTTTGTGAAGCACTTAAAAATTATTTTATCTGAATTTGTGTGAAGTTAGCTGTATGCCTACTTTATACCAGAAACTGAAACGCAAAGAAGTTAAATTTGTTGCCAAGGCCGCAAGAATTGAAGCCCTCCGTTTCTTAGATTTTCCTCTTCTGCTGTTTTTTCCAGTGATGATGGGTGGGGGTGGGATGAGTGGAGGGAGGAGGTGAGCCAAGACAAGCTTCTTGCCCCTCTAGGGCTCCCAGCAGTTTAGAGATAATGAGACAAGAATTTGGGAGGGTGAATTCTACAAATGCAGACTGATGAAATTGTTGCATCAAGGGAGAAACAGTTAAATGCTTGCAGAAAATGGTTTAGAGTTTACACTTTCGAGTGAGACCGGCTTGAGGGATAAGCCTCTTCCTGAATATCTGAGTTTAGGCAAATTAGTTAGCTGGTGGCGCAGCGGTTAAACACAGGACTGCTCACCAAAGGTTGGCAGTTGGAATCCACTAGCTGCTCTTCGGGAGAAAGATGTGGCAGTCTGTTCTGTAAAGATTTACAGCCTTGGAAACCCTACGGGGGCTGTTCGACTTTGTCCAGTAGGGTCGATAGGAGTCGGAATACACTCGACAACAGCAGGTACTTTTCTTATCTGTAAAAGAAAAATAATAATAAAACTGGCTGTTTGTACTATGAAGAATTAATGGATTAAATCATATGAAGCTTTTAGTACAGAGTCTGCTTTAGTAAGCATTCAATAAAAGAGCTGTCATTATCAAACCTCTGTCATTTTTATTTGCATTGTATCAATCTCATTAAAAAAAAAAAAACCTGAAGATTTCTTAAAATGCTTAAACCCATTGCCATCGAGTCCATTCCTACTCATAGCAACCCTATAGGATAGAGTAGAACTGCCCCATAGGGTTTCCAAGGAGCAACTGGTGGATTCGAACTGCTGACCTTTTTTGGTTAGCAGCTGAGCTCTTAACAACCACTGTGCCACCAGGGCTCCACATCTATAAAATGCTTACAAGGCTAAAATTATATTTGTAATTTTTATTCATAGAAGAGATAGTAAAGCATTCAGGTGCTGAAACTATCCATAGGAGCAATAGAATTATAGGGGTGCAGGACATGGACATTGGAATCCTGTAGCCTGAGTTTTGAATTCCAGGTCTGTCACTTACGAGCTGTGTGACCTTTGGCAAGTTCACAACACTCTTTGTGCTTCAGTTTCCTCGTCTATAAAACAGGGATAATGTGGTACCTTCTTTAATCATTAGCTTTGAGAAATAATAGATTAAAATATGTAAAGGCTTAGCACAGTGTTTGGTAAATAGTAAGATTGTAAACATGTTTGTTATTTAAAAAAAGTAATTGATATTTGTTTAGATTAGCTTTTAGGTTTTTATTCTTTAATTTTATTCAACTGTAAAAATATAATTATGTTAACATATGCTTTGTAGTTAGCTTTCTAATATGGCACATCTGAAATATTTTGACATTAGAAGGGCTGTAGTTAAACTAATTTTATATGGAATTTTTTTGGAATCCAGGTAATATTCTGATCATTAAGGTCAAGTCTGTGTCTTTGTATTTGAGATTCTTTAAACATTAACCTTCATGTTGAACTTTCCATTTTAAACTACCTTTGACTACTTCGGGAACATTCTCAGGTGCAATAGTTCTCAAATGCAAAGATAAGAAAGTCAGCTTTTATAAAGTTGTGCAGCAATGTCAAAGAGAGAAAACTAGTTTAATTTAAAAGGGCAATGAGACTGTACCATAAATTCCATAATTAGGAAAAATTAAGCATTATTTTCGAATTGCATAATGAATTTTTTAGGTAAATTAAAATTCTAACTATTCAACCGAATGCTTTAAGCTTATATCCTTGGTTTTATAGTGATAAATTATTTCAATAAACTTGACTTTCCAGTTTCCCAGGGTGCCACTGTAGCCTAGATTTAATTAATGTTATTTTGAAATGGCCATCTTTGTTTATTATTCTCACAGGGCAATTTATTATGCACATTTCTTATAGGAATTGTAGAGGACTACCAGTTGCCTTATTATGACATGGTGCCTTCAGACCCCTCATTAGAGGAAATGAAGAAGGTTGTTTGTGACCAGAAGTTTCGACCAAGTATCCCAAATCAGTGGCAAAGCTGTGAAGTAAGGCTGTGTATTTGTTATGTATATTTTTTATTATGTTTTTGAGTTATGTATCTGGGAAGATTTTCAAATACCAGAAATTTCATCTTGGTTAATCTAGGCATCCAGTTCATTCCATATATGTAGGCATCTTAGTCATCTACTGCTGCTATAACAGAAATACAACAAGTGGATGGCTTTAACAAAGAGAAATTTATTTCTTCACAGTAAAGTAGGCTAAAAGTCCAAATTCAGGGCGTCAGCTCCGGGAGAAGGCTTTCTCTCTCTGTCGGCCTTCTCATCAGTCTTCCCCTGGACCCGGAGCTTCTCCGCTCAGGGATCCCAGGTCCAGAGGACACGCTCTGCTCCTGGCACTGCTTTCTTGGTGGTCTGAAGTCTCCCTGTCTCTCTGCTCACTTCACTCTTATATCTCAAGAGATTGCTTCAAGATACAATCCAGTCTTGCAGATTGAATTCTGCCTCACTAACACAACTGCCTCCCATCCTCCTTCATTAACATCATAGAGGCAGGATTTATAACATACAGGAAAATCACACAGTCCCAGGAATCATGGCCCAGCCAAACTGATATACACATTTTTGGGGGAACATAATTCAATCCATGACAGTAGGTACGTATCTTTTTATAAGTCTTTAGAAGGATTTTATTTCTTTAGCAATGTGACTTGATGGCAACTAACAGCAACAACAATACATAATGCTAGATTATGTGGCAGTATCAAACAAGCTCTGAAATCTCAGTGGCTTAACACAACAAGACTGTCTTCCTCGCTATACGTAGTCCTCTGTAAGATAGGCAACTCTTCATGGCATCTGTCCTCCCTGTGGTGACTCAGTAATTTGGCCTGCTTTGATCTTGTGGTCAGGAGAAGAGAGGAGCTGGAGGGTCACACACTGGCTTTTAAATGCTTTGGCACCAAGTGGCACATATCACTTCCACTTGTGGCCCACAGGCCAGAACCAGTCACATGCTTCCATCTAACTACAAGGTGGCTGGGGACTGTGGGAACACATGCATATTTAGCAGGCACTCAATGTCTGTGCCATACAAAGTATCACAATTTTAGCCATCCTTTTATGCAATACATGGCATCCTGGAGGTGTAACAGTTATGTGCTGGGCTGCTACCAGGAAGGTTGGCAGTTCAGTTCCACCCAGCAGCTCCTTGGGAGAAAGACTTGGCAATCTGCTTCCGTAAAGATTTCAGCCAGGAAAACCCCATGAGGAAGTTCTACTTTGTCACTTGGGGTTGCTGTGACTTGGAATCAACTCCATGGCACCCAACAAAACAACAACATATTCAATATATTATTCCTAATCTGTAAAAGACTGAAGTTTAAGCTTATTCTCCTGCATTGGAAAAGCTCCCTGAGGGCAGGAACCATGGTTATTTATTTCCTCATCACCAGCAGCCCAATATAGTAACCATCATATAGTAAAGAACAGTTGCCGTCAATTCTGACTTATTGACCCCATGTGTGTTAGAATAGAACTGTGCTCCATAGGATTTTCAATGGCTGATTTTGTGGAAGTAGATTGACAGGACTTTCTTCTGAGGTGCCTCTGGATGGACTTGAACTGCAACTTTTTGGTTAGCAGCTGAGAGCATTAACCATTTACACCACCCACACATTAAATAGTTATTGAAATATTTTCCTGCCTTATATGAAGATAGGCTCATAGCTATGAGTTGGAATCGATTCGATGACAATGGGTTTGGGTTTTTTTGGGTTTTATGAAGATAGATATTTTCTAGCTCCCACAAGAAGAAAGAAGGAATGGTGGCAGAAATACTATAAACCATATAGCTAGTTCCAGAAGTTTTCTAATGCTTTAATCTCCTTTGTCTCAGTTATTGCCTTTTATCTTCTGCCATATTTAATTATAATGTTTGCGGTCTCTTTAAGTGGCCTCTTTTAGTTCGGATTTGCCATAGAAACTATTTTATATGGTCACCTTTTTGGCTCATCTTCTCCCTTCATGTTTCACTTAACTCTTTTTCAAGATAAGATTTGTGTCTTGGATTTCCTATATGATTGTGTAGAGATCTTATCTACATACTTATTTCAGAAGCAGAATTTGAGATATTTGCAATCTAATTGAAATCAAATTAATTTTTTCTAATATTAATAATTTCATGCATATAAGAGAATATATAACATATATGTAAATTTTAAAGTATAACAATAACATGAAAACCAGTAAATCCACTATCAAGTTTAAAAATACAGTATTTCTAATGCTTTGAAGAACTTCTTACCCCTCTGAGAGGTTACTATTATACTTAATTGTTTATTATTGCCTTGCATTTCTTTAGAATTCTGCCACACACATATGCACACGCACCCACCCCCCCCCCCCACATTTCTCCTGAAAATATATTGTTTGCTTTTTGTATTTGTGAAGCTCATTGAATCTTACTGTAGCTATTCTTCTCCATTTTTTTTTCACTATTATACATGTTTATCCATAGTCTTTTCATTTTCATTGCTGTGTAGTATTTCATTGTGTGGATATAGCACAATTTCTTTATCATGCTAATTGTTATGTGTGCAGTTTTTTTTTTAAACAATTGTGCTATAAATATCTGTGGAAAAGTTTCCTTAGGGTGTAAACTATAGATTTTTTTTCTGGGTGTCCATATAGACAATCATATCTTCAATTAATGAAAACTCTGGGATCAGTCCTCATGCTTCCCTTTCTTATTGTAGGGTATCCCCAAAACCAGACCCATTACCATCGAGTTGATTCCAACACATAGCGACCCCATAGGGTTTCCAAGGCTGTAAATCTCTACAGAAGCAGACTGCCACATCTTTCTTCCACAGAGCTTTTGGTAGTTTCGAACCACCGACCTTTTGGTTAGCAGTCAATTGCTTTAACCACTGTGACAGCAGAGCTCCTTATTGTAGTATATAGGACCTCCAATATTATGTTGCCTGAAAGTGATTGTCATGGATTGAATTATGTCCCCCCAAAAATGTGTATATCAGTTTGGCTGGGCCATGATTCCTGGTACTGTGTGATTTTCCTATATGTTGTAAATCCTGCCTCTATGATGTTAATGAGGGAGGATGGGTGGCAGTTGTGTTAGTAAGGCAGGACTGGATCTACAAGACTGGATTGTGTCCTGAGGCAATGTCTTGAGATATAAAAGACAGAATTGAGCAGTGAGACAGGGACCTCATACCATCAAGAAGGCAGCGCCGGGAGCAGAGTGCGTCCTTTGGACCGGGGTCCCTGCGCAGAGAAGCTCCTAGTCCAGGGGACCACTGAAGAGAAGAAGGCCGACAGAGAGAAAAAGCCTTCCCCTGGAGCTGATGCCCTGAATTTGGACTTTTAGCCTACTTTGACTATGAGGAAATAAACTTCTCTTCATCAAAACCATCCACTTGTGGTATTTCTGTTGTAGCAGTACTAGATGACTAAAACAGTGATGATAATTGGCATCTTTCTCTTGTTCCTTAAAACTTTTTATGTTTCACTTTTGCATATGAAATTTGCTATAGTTTTTATGATGGTTAAGGTTGTGGATCAACTTCGCTGGGCCATGATTCTCAGTGATTTTGCAGTTATATAATGATATACTTTAACAGTTGCATAATGATGTTGTTATCTTCCATTTTGTGATATAATGTAATCACCTCCATGATGTAATCTAATATGATCAGCCAATCAGTTGTAAGGGGCGTTTTCTCGGGGGTGTGGCCTGCGTCCAATATATATGGACGTTCTGGCAAAGCTCACTGGCTTTTGCTCACTCTGGATTCTGCATCTGGCTCGTCATCATCTGACTTCTGGTTCTTGGGATTTGAGCCAGCAGCCTGCTGTATTGCCTGCCAATCTTGGGATTTGTCGACCTCTGCAGCCTGTGAACAGGCAGCTTGCCGTCTTACCTGCCGATTTTGGGTTCATCAGCCCCTGCAGCTACATGAATAAGAAGCCTCCAGCCTGACACCTGACCCATGGACTTGGGACTTGCCATCCTCTACAACTGTGTGAACCATTTCCTTGAGATAAATTACTCTCTCTCTGTTTATATATATATGTGTGTGTGTGTGTGTGTGTGTGTGTGTGTATGTATATATATATGCTTTGCTGGTTTTGCTTCTCTAGAGAACCCAGCCTAAGACATTTGGTACTGAGAGTGGTTCTAGAGAAACAAAATTGTAAGGATGAGTTTTCTAAATTGGTTCTCAAGCCTGGTTAGTCTTAAAGACGTTGATGACTCTGCTTCCACTAGTAAAGAAGGCAGTGCTAATCCATGGCATGAGGTTGCAATAGAAATAGAAATATGCAATAGATCAAGTACTGGTGAGAGGCGAGGCTCTGGGTGATCACATATTTGATACTTTTCCACAATTTTACCAGAATGAAAAGTATAAGAAAGCTGGTTGGTTGGTCCTGCTTTTGCTAGACAAAGTGGCGAAAGAAAGAGATGAGCTCAGGGCATCAGAGTCACAGCTCAAGTACCAGATAAATGACCTCAAAGTTGCCAGTTGTGCCCTGAAAGAAAGCCTTATTTCTTGTAGTAACAGAGCCGATATTGCCAAAAACCAGAGTCTTATCATTACAGGGGCTGAATTACAGTGCCAGTTGAATTCCCAATTTTGAATGGTGTCTGAAGTTAAAGTGAGGGCATTGATTGGGAAGCAGTGGGATCCTGAAACTTGGGATGGGGACGTTTGGGCAGATAATCAGAAAGCTGGGTCAATGAGCCCTTAAATTCCATTGAATCACTCCTGCCAACAGAACCAGCCTTCTTGCTCCCATCTGAACAGATTATTCCATCTTTGTCTGCTAAACCAACCTCCCCAGTAAAACCATTAGCCCCTCTGCTCCCATCTGATGAGGTTAATCCAGCTGTGTCTGAAGAACCTTTGTCTGAGATATCATCTGGGGCAGCATCTGAGTCATCACCTGGCAAGGCCTCTGAGTCATTGCCTTGGGCATTGCCTGAGCCATGTGCCTTACAAGACATTGCTGAATGTTCTCAGAAC